CACATAAAATAAAAAATTTATATCTTTATGTTTGAAGCCTGAAATGTGGCAAAAGGTTGAAAAGTTCAAGGGGGCCGAATACTTTCGCAAGGCACTGTACATACTATGAAAGCTTTTAATTATGCATTAATGCGTGTAAGCAATTGTTTTCTCTAATGCAATATGGCAAATAACTGTAACAAAAGTTAAGATTTGATTTTATTAACGGAGATCTGTTTAGTAATGATGATCTATGTAACTCTTAAAAAAAATAGTGCTTCATGTTTTTGTACAAATAGATTTTCCGCAAAATGGAGCTGTGAAAAAGACGTTTGAAGGGAGGTCAGATTGTAATCTCGCACATCTTCTTATGTATGAACACTCACCTGCTGTGCAATAGGCATGGACTCATCTGAGACAGAAGTCTCTCAGCTCTCTGTTGCTGCATCTTACCTTTGTAGTTCCTGTGTCTTATGGTACACATTCACACTCTACCGTGGGATTCACCCGTAACAAAGCTCACACACCAATAGGTCCATGATTGTAGAAATCTGCATTGGTACTTTGGGGATTATTTAGTCTTTTTTGGAGGTTTTGGCAATCTTGACCTTACAACCAGAGCTAAGAGCTAACCAGGAGGAGTGGTGGTTCTGTGGCTTAGGTTCTGTACCTGTGGCGGGAAGGTTTCTGGCTCAAATCCTTCAGCTGGCAGAGGAATCCTTCTCTGTTGGGCCCCTGAGCAAGGCCCTTAACCCCAACTGCTCCAGGGGTGCTGTACAATGGCTGACCCTGTGCTCTGACCCCAGACTTCTCTCCCTGTCTGTGTGTCTCATGGAGAGCAAGCTGGGGTATGCGAAAAGACAAATTCCCCATGCAAGAAATTGTATAGGGCTAATAAAGTGATGTTATGTTATGCTAATATTACCACCAAATTATAAACAATGGGGACAGGGGTAACAGGACATTTTTGAACATTCAGGTATATATTTAGTTATTCAGAGGAATTAAAGTGTTTTAAAAAATACATTTTATCTGAATGAAATGAAAATGCGAATTCTGATAATCACAATGTAAAATAAAATGAACTATTTTCCTTTCAAACATATGCTAAAGTCTAGCAACGCGTTCTGTGTTGAGATATCCTCAAAACACAACAACTAGATTGGTATGCAATATGAACAATAAAATCTGCTTAAAATGCATAACATACAATACATAATAATGTTACTGCAACTGTGTGATCAAGATTTAATAATTGACAATTTACTTTTCATTGTTTTCATTCAGACTATCAGATGAGAGTATACTTATTAATTCATGATGTCAGCTTTAGTTATGAGGGGCAAGTTTAGATCAATCTGCTTCCTGTCTGAGAAATTTCATTCTCAAAGCCTATGTGTCCTGGAATTTCCTACAGCTGATGCTTCTTCGGTCATCTTCTTCAAAACATTAGACAGAAACCTTCATGACACACTACTTCTGCAGGGACTATACCGTATACATCTTGAAATCTCAAATTTACAGTTGCCAAGATATTAAAAATGGAAAAAATAAAGCATTTAAAAGTTCAATCTTCCTAGTGCTGTGTATTGGTATATATTCTTCAGTACCCCTTACTTGCTCTTTAAAAAATAACTCGGAGAAAAAAGCGAGTTAGTAAAAATGTTTAAAATGTTACCTGCACTTAGTTGTACAATACTGCAAAAGGTCTCACAGGCTGTTATCTATAGTATATTGTTTATACCAAATTCAAGTTGCATTCCTAATTCAATGTTCTGATCTTTTTCCCATATAGAGAAGAAGGATATGTACCCAGTAATTATGTGACTGAGAAAAAATTGAACAACCTTGATCAATTTCCGTAAGTTTTTCAATCTTTAAAAGGAGGTGAGGGCAAAAACGAATCTCCTGGGGTGTATAGATTCCTACAAATGATCTGTAGGACACTACAGACCTCCAAAAATAAAACTAATGACTAAAATAACTCTTATAAATGTTTTATTAACACCCTAAGGAAATGTCTGCTTTCTTTGCTGTTTACCATGAACATTACTGAAGCTGCCACTGTTCATTTTTTGCCTTTGCTTTTTTATGTGATTTCATAAATATAGCATCATAGATTTGAAAGCATCATAGATTTATTTTGAGTACAAACAAAAATCATTATACAATTACTGCTAGCTCATAAACGGAAATGAAAAAAACTTTCAGTGAATATTATTTAATATCATTTTTGATGATTTGTTGAAACCTTGTTAAACCATATATTTTGAGTGTTTACAGTTTATATAAGAAAACTACATGTACACATATGTTCAAATCTCTTAAATACCTATAATATATTAAGGTAATTTTGAAAAACGACTCAAAGTCTTTTTTTGTTTCAACATCTCATGTACAATAAGACCACACGAAAGGTGTTGAATGTGAGCATTTCCTCTTTTATGTATGTCAGTATTGCTTGATTTATTTGTTTCCTGTGTTGAAAGCTTCAGGTTAATACTGCGTATGACAATGTGAAATAAATTAAGGAATGCTTCAAAACATAAGTGATTGCCCTTTACCTTCTAGATGGTACTGCAAAAATGTGAACAGAAATAAAGCTGAACAGCAGCTGAAAAATGAAGTGAGTATATCTTTGATTGATATAAACAATTGTTGATTGCTGTTTTTCCTCAGATATTTTCATGCTCCTTGTTGAAATCAGGAAATGAAGGAATATAAGTGAATATAAGACTCTGATTTTGTTTGGTAGCTTGCTCAAACATGGACAGTGACCTGCTAGAAATTATTATATATAAATTCAGTATGCTTGTATCCTTTAGCTACTGTACAAATACAGTAGTTTCTTATGTAGATGGCCATTGGCCATCTAGACAGTAGGTTAATATATCTGCTGTTCAGATAGTTTTTCAACAAGATTGAACAATACCCGTGTAAAATCTGTCATACAGTATGTAAGATATACTGTATAATAATAACCACATAGAATAAATATTTACAGTTAAAAATATTAATGTCTAGAAAAAATCAAACTTGTAAAATTTCTCAATTTTTAATAGAAGTTCAATGGTTGTATCTTTATGGAAATGTTTTACTGAGTCCGCTTTATTTGTAACCATTTAATCTGAATCAGCAGGGAGTGATGTTGTGATATGTTAGTGTTACATCCACTATTGGTACTTTGTTTTAGTGTTTATTTCACCTTTGTTTGATTAGAGCTGACAGAAATGTCATTTGTCTTGTATAGCAAGTCGAGGATTATAATAAGTGCTGTTTGCAATGGCAAATTTCATAATCTATAACTTTCCTTAGCTGCGGAAAAATTGATTTTCAGGTAAATCTCCCAGCAATACAATAGTCATACTTAGTCATATTATTTTACCTTGAAAATGAAAATGTGTTTTAAACCAGTATTCAAGACATGAAATGAATTAGTTTAATAACTTCAACAGCTTAGCTGGTTAGCTTCTTCCATACTTCCCCAACCATTTGCATGCAACAGGGCCTCCTGTTCTTGGTTTTAATAAATTGACTACTAATGCATCAGAGCAATTAGCAATGTATTGGCAGTGTATTTAATAAATTACTCTGCATTACATTCTAATGTTCTCCAACTATTTTTGTCCATTAATTTAAACATTTCCTGGAACTAAATTATTACTGGACTCCTGTCTTTCTGTTTGCTTTCAAGTACATCTTAATGCAGATCCGTTAGTGTTAAGGATACTGATGACTGAGATGATGTCATCAGTTTTAAAGCATGTTAGTTTTGTTCTTTGTTAAACAGTTCATATTTAATTTTATCATGTACACTACATAAGGTGTTAAATAACAATTTACCAGCAAGATGCTTTTAAAACACCATGTCAGTAAATTTTTGCTACTTCCTTTTTTATTACACAAAATGTTTGCCTGATGATGGGGGAAAATAAACAAATATAGTAGCTTTGTATCCATCAATAACATTTTTTAGCATTTTGTGGTGTTTTCTTCGTTCTGATGTTTTCCTCATCTCAACTTAAGTTTTAGCCCCAGAAGTGACATAGCTGAGAAAAATATACAACATAAAGTAAATTGCCAAGCACAATTTGTCCAAGTACATAGTTTTTCAATCTGAATACACTGTTTATTAATTCACTTCAACTCAAAGTTGAGCTCACAGTTTAGTCATTTGTGTGCATGGCTTAGTAATTTATGTACATGCTTTGCTAAATTATATTAATATAAATTAGTTTACATTGCTGCTTGCAGCTGGGGTATTGTTAAAGATGACTGATGTACCAAATATGTATAGAGTATCTTTATATTTTAGTCATAAGTGAAAATACAGCTGTATGAGTACATTTCTGTTCACAACTTGGTTGTTTGCTTCATCCAGAAGATCTGTTCTGAAGTCTCACTTTCACAATAATACAGGCTTTGGAAATTCGGAACATACTTTCTTAACATCACACACGTTAACAAACTCTGTGTGTGAATTAGCCCTGATAATTTATTATTTCAAATTTGAAAATTGTGCTCTCAGAAGAGTAAACTGTGTACTAGTTAACGCTATTCTTTCCAGGGCACCTTGATTTTTAAGATGCAGCTGTGCACAGCTTCTTGAAGATGAAATGCCATCCTTGTTCTTATACCCATCCCCCGTAGAACTCAAATCAGCAACAAGCTGAGTGGTGAATAGGCATAGAGTGATTAGTCCTTGAAGTTCGAGTAATCATTCTGTGCTCACTTTCAGTCCTGTACTAATGCTTGCATAGGCTCAGCTTTGTCTCTACCAGTTGAATTTGGTCAGCACTTCACACTGACTTCCTGCTGTTTCTCTCACTGGGTGCCCTTCCTGGGGAAAGTTATTTATGTGTGACAGGATTGAGCGAGTTGTGCAGAGCGAGTTTGAGAAGCGATGTCACCACCTTCTAATATCTGTGGTAGAGAGCTCGATATTTTGGTGTGGTGGAGCTGTCTACTGTCTGGGGAGTGGGGATGTGTATGTGCTCCGAGCTCGCGGGGCGATGTGGATCAGAAAGAATTGCACTTCTCATATATGGATACACACGTCTTTTCTTCTATCTAGCAGTGTTAGCCCATCTTTCAGTCCTGTGTACCGTACAGGACAATGTGGAGGCGATAGTGTGAAATCCGATGCATGTTTTGCAAGTGCATAAATATGAAATAACAGTAGAACCAGAATATATAATTGTAAAGGCACTGTGCACATTTTGCTATCAAATAATAGTTTCAGGAAGGTGTGAGTACATAAACTGTATAGTTTATAGACATGCTTTTTTCTTCTTTATTTTGATAACAGTCTATGTGGTAGTATAATATATAATAATCTTTCACCAAAGTGTGACTGGATTGTTTGTGGGGAAAAATAAGTTGATGTTTTAATTTAATAGAGTGTTAATAGTACATTTAAACTTTGAGTGACTACAAAATAGAATACAGTTGTGACATTTTCTCAGCCCACTCTAGCTGTTGTTTTTATAGTTTATCATATTACAGGACAGCTAATGGTTTTCCTCCTTGTAATAAAACTAGTATATACTGTAAATTGAAATATTTAACTTTTGCTTATTTCCTTGCAGCTTGCACTCTAATGCAGTTCTCCACCGCAGCCTAAATTGAAATATATGATTAAGATATACAGTATTGAGATATTAATAATTCTAGCATTGTGTTTGTGTTAAAGATTGTGTTAAACGGGCATCTCAAAGCTCTAATCCTCAAGGGATTTTACAATGTCTAGTTGCTGGCTGACTTTTTCTTGGTTGACTGATTTTTTCTCAGTTGCAGATATTAAGGAGTTAGCATTTAGTAAATACAAATCTTTAATGAAAAGTAAACTACAACATTGCATTCTAAAGCCTAGTTAGAAGTTTGTCCAATTTCTTTCACATACTAAAAAACAACGCTGCAAAGCTTTGAACATACTGCAATGATTATCTTGTTTTGTTCTATGATGATAATTATAATAATGTATTTCAATAAAGACAGGCAGATTACTTGATTCTGGGTAGTTTAGCATGCCATTTATGAGTATTGCTTTTACTTGAAAAGCTTCTATGTGTCTGCATTGTCAGCTAAATTTGGTTTTGTTATTACAGTTGCAGAGCTAAAGGTGTTGTGTGAATGGAAAGTGTTGTTAATGGTAGTGTGGCACGTGGAGCAGCAAGTCTTTGTGTTCACACAAGAAGTGGGACCGTCTTATTCAGGCTTACTGCAAGCTCTAAGGTTCTAGTCTGGGGCTGGTTGTGATGACTTGCAGCGTGTGGACTGAGAAGCAATAATCTTGAGATAATCACTTTAAAGAAAAGTTGTCATGATCCCATTATCATTGGCCTTTTAACCTATCACCAGTGTTGTCGTGACAACTCCCATGATATTTTTCCAACAAGGAAGCAGGTGATGATTTAGAGGCATCTATAAAAACTGCAGGAGTGTAAATTAATTTGTGGCTTAAATAGCAGATCGTTTTTATGCTTTTGGCACACTCTTGTGGTACAACACAAGCAAAGCACAACTCAGACTGATCATCTATAGACTTTGTGGCTGATGGGTTTCATACAGGTATTTGTAAAGTGAAATATTATCCTCCTACCCTACAACATTACTTCTTATACATTGTTTCTCTTTATGTTAATATATCATAACTTTTAAATATAAACATTGTTAAAGTTATTTATTTTTTATTGTTCACCAGTGTTATTGGTGGATGACCATTTAATATTTTACAAATATACGCTTCTGGTTGATATCCTTCAAAGGCTAAGATGCCTAATAGCAGAATAGACCAACATCAACATTTTAACCACTGTATCCAGTTCAGGGTTGTGGGGAATCAAAGCCTATCCCAGCATGCAACGGGCGCAAGACAGGATACCCACCGGACCAGGTGCCAGTTCATCATAGGGCAGATGCAGACACACACACTCACACCAGGGTTCAGCTTTCCCAGAAGCCAGTGAAACTACCAGTATGATTTTGGACTGTTGGTGGAAACAAATGTGAGCACAGGGAGATAATATAAACTCCACTTACTGTAGATAGCACCCAAGGTCTGGAATTGAACCTAGGGCCCAAGGGACTGTGTTGTTGTGGGGTCAGTAAATGTCATTTGCTGGATAAGGTCTGAAAGTGGGTCCAGAAGTCTTTTCTGCGGGCTGCCAGGAAGGTTTCTGGTGGTGGTGTTCAATTTCCTAACTCATTTGGTCCAAATACACTCCCACTATTTTGTTTATGTTGTTATTAATGATATTACTATTTTTAAAAAAAGCTTAAGGAAAGTTGAGGAAAACAGCTGAAATCCCCCTCTGCACATTTTGCCCTCTAGAATGCAAAATTCCTGATAAAACCTAATATTATTATTTATATAAAGAATATTGGTATCACTCCAATATTCTTTTCAGACAGATTCTTGTCATTCAACTAATAAATTGCAAGAACCACTTTCAAATTTATAGGCCATAGTGAATTTCTGACAGATGAAGATGTTAACTTCCACTTCAAACACTTAGGGTGCAAAACAGGCAAACTTTAAGTTCTTCTGAGTTCATGGTGTTGTTTATTTTTCTTTTAATAAATGTAATTTAATTTAATTGCAACAAATCGTGTTCATAGGAAAAATTAGAAATGAAATAAAAGCATTTTCTCTTTGGACTTTTTAATTTGTAAAGAACAAATACATGGTATATGCTCCTTAATATTGAGAGCTGTATGGTCCGAGAATCAAATGAAAGTCATAAAATGGGCTGCCCTATTAGTAGCTGTAGAATCATCAAGTTGGAATGGAAATTGCAATTTTAAAGTTTTTTTTATAACATGACGGACAACTCTCAGCAGCTGCTGCAAACCACTACTCCAAATACAGAGCCTGTAAAAAATTAACTCATGTCCGCTCATGCACAATGAAATTATTGTTATTTGCCATGGTTGCAAACACAACTATGTAAGTTCCTGGAAAAACTCTTAAGAAGTGCTCTACAGTCTGCTCATCTACATGGAACTGTTGTTTCATGAAACCTTCATTTTTTATTGTTCATTTTCCCAGTATTTTGCAAGCTGAACTTTTGAAATATGAAAACTAGTTCACATGTCCATACACCAAAGGTTGAGAACCATTGTCTAATGATATCATGTATTCCAAGTCTTACTACATTTCTGGTTGGTGGGTAGTTTCTGAGGTAACATTAACAACCATGTTCAGAACTGTAAGTGTTATTCCATGTTTATGGAATGGTTATGTTTAACTTAACATTAAGATTTAACACATAAGATTTAATTATCCTATTTTCTCTTCCAGGATAAAGAAGGGGGATTTATAGTGCGAGATTCAAGCCACCCTGGTGCCTATACCGTCTCTTTGTATACAAAGTCATCAGGGTGAGTATAACACAACAATGCTGAAGCTATACTGGCCATTCAACATCTATTGTAGTTAAATTCATAGTTCATAGCTGCGTTTCTGCATTCTCAAAATATTTTTTATATTTACCTTGATTATTAATCCCTTTTTAAAATCCCAAATGGAAGTACCAATTTTTAAAACAGCATATCGTGTTTCTGATATGCCTGTCATACCAGAAGAGAATGATAAGGAAAACATGTCCTCCAAAGACTATGCTGTTAGGTACAGCACAGTTAGAATGGACTGGAGGGCTTGTGCATCACTTACTGATAATTATGCAAGCTCACCAAAGCTCATTAAATCATAGGAGGCACTGTTGTATGGCTAGCAGAAGATACCCTAGCTGACTGCAGTCCCACTGAATCCCAGTTGCACTTTGGCAATAGTATACTGCTAACTGAGGAACCTTTGTCACAAGTGCCTTATGGATATTAGGACTTCATCTGTGTACTGAACAGAACCTTTATGAGTTAAGCTTCTTAGTAGCCTTTGCACATTTGTTTTTAAACTGTGTTGATTTGTAAAACTTTTGGTCTTGGGCACAGTTTAGAAGAACATTTGTATATTACAAGTCTTAAATATTTTTGTGTGAAGTTAATCAAATTCCAAATGTCACAACTAGATTAAATTCTTATGAGAGACCCATAGATACAATTTAATGATGAGATATTTCTATTTTTTATTTTACATGCCTTACTAGGTTTGCCTTTCCATGTTTTAAGGGAGTTTTTTCATCTCAGTGTCATTCAAAACTGTTGTTTTTGACACGGCATTCTGTCTTGTTTGTTTCAGAGAGGGTGCTTCAGTACGACATTACCATATAAAAGAAACACACACTGTGCCTAAGATGTATTACTTGGCAGAAAAGCACCATTTCAGTAGTATTCCTGAACTGATAGAGTACCATCAGCACAACGCAGCAGGTATTTACTTTTTCACAGCTGGAAAGACAGAGCACTTCAGAGTCACAGTGTGAGATAATGAAGCATCTTAAAAGCCTTACATGGAAAAATACATAAGGTTTAAAGCTGTTATCGATTGCAAACAAATTTATTAAAATATTATAGAAAAGATCATTTAAAAACTAGAAATGGGGTTTTTAGAATTATAAATGATGTATATGTATATAAAACTAAGGTTTATAACTTTTTACTACCATTTAATATTTATGTTGACATATCTCTTTTCCCATTTTCTTTTTGCAAGTAAAATACAGAAATGACAAGTACACAGACTGATTGACTTAATTGTCATGACAAAAAATGAAAGCTGGACACATCTTATTACACTTACACTTCTTATTAAGCATAATTATATTGAAGAGAGGGATTATTTGAAGTCAGTTCACTGATGTGTACTTGTCCGTGTGCATATTCTGCATTTTGCTTTGAAATGAAATGACGTTTGGGCAGTTTTATGTCATATTCTAATGTCTGAGCAGTAAAACAAACACATGCCAGAATTACCAGTTCTCTCTAACTAAGATATGAATAGTGTGGTTGATATTCAATGAATTAGTCAGAAATGTTATAGAGAAACTGACAACCAGCATCCCTCGTTAGAAGTGACAAAATGGAGGACACAAATTTTCATACTATTCAGATTCTTTGTTTTCAGGCATATTTTTTTGGGGTGGTTTGGCTTGCTTTCAGTAGCTTTTCTGTTTTACTACAGGCCTTGTGACAAGGCTACGGTATCCAGTTGTACAAAAAGGGAGATTAGCACCAACCACAGCTGGTTTTAGCTATGGTAAGAAATCATCAGTTTTTCACTTTTTTTTGCATTATGTGGGAAGCTTATTATTAAAGATGGCTACTAGCTATCCCAGTCCAAGTTGTTTGTCTTTTAAAAGATGAAGGGTCCCTTTAAAACAAACATAGACATCATAGAAAATTACTGTTGAATGCAGTCTATTAACAGTTTATTCCATGCCATATAAGGTGGTAGGCTTGACTATCAAAACAAATGGCACTTGTAGCATTTATGTTAAGTTCTGATTAAGTTCTGAATTTGTGACATTGGTTTTGACCATTCTTGTTCCACTGTGGTGACACACCAGCAAACAAGTTCAAACTGCTATACATAGACAGTACATTTATATTCTCTGTCACTCATCTGAAGATGCTCAGTTGCTGTTCCAATGCCATTTAAAATGTAAATGCACACAATACTGGCTAAAAACATGAATCTGATGGAAGTGATGTTTCACGTGGAGCACAGAACAATCACTGTGGAAACATTTAAGAAGTTTGAAAAGCACGATGAGGCATCAGCTGAAATGGACTTTGGATATCCCCTGACTGACTGTCGTGATCAACTTGAAAGGCAAGCTACAGAAGGAATTCAGAAGCATGTGAAGGGCTTGACTCCTGTGTAGTGAACTGCCATAACTAAGCACCAGGTTGGGCTTTTATTGCTCAGGTTGAGAAACTGTTAATCATTCAAAGGTGGATCAAAATCAACATCAAGCTGCTAAGAGTTTACCCATAATTCAGCAAAGAGCTTTGATTTAAGGAAACAGCAAGGGGTGTGTTGTAATTCTGATCTTTTCATGCAAGAAGATGGTGTTTTATGCATGTTAAAGCCAAGAAACAAATTCTATCATCTCAAGGTCTCTGGTGATTCAACCAGTGGTGATGGTTGATGACATTGGCTGCAAACATTGAAGAGGGTGGGTATTGTACTCAGTGTTTTTAAGCTGATGAAACTGGACTCTTCCGGGAAAAGAGTCGTTCTGGGGAAGAGCAGAAATCCATGCCAGAATACAAAGTTTCTTTGTACTGGATTACTCATTTGCTTGGTTCCAATGCAGCAGATGACTGATTTTAAACATTTGGTGTTGTATCATTCTGAAAATTCTGAGGGTTTTCAAGGGATTGTGGTGCCATGGGGAGTGTGGCTACCATCTTGTCAGGCCTTCCATTCCCTCCTGACCTGCCCCTTTTAGGTTCCTTTTCTTCTTCTTTACTCGCACTCTCCTCCGAAATTGCTTGGATGTCCCTTTTGAGGAATTAGACCCCAACGCAGCACACAGACAAGAAGACAATATCTGACCAAATCACCTTTGACACTTTTCTTAAGAAAGAAGAAAAGACTCCAGAAAAACTTGTAACCTGTTACTATTGAGCCAACCAAGCGCCTTTCAAAAAACACCAACCTAAAAAAGTACACAATCCCAGACATTATGAAGACACTACTTATACGTCAAAAAATGTAAGATTTGAACGTCTGTGCTTTTGAAATGATGTGTAGGTATCAGCAATATACAGTGTGCAGTAATCTACTTGTTTCTTTATGTAGCTGTAACTTTCTGTGTGATTTCTATGCCGATATGACTGCAGTTGCCATTTAAATACTGCTCATCTTTATTACTCATATACAAATTGTTTGAGTAAAAAATCCTGGGTTAGTGTGGTGAAAATAAGTCCGGCCATGTACTGTACTACATTTGTTCCTATAGGAACATTTATTCTTATTTACAATGTCTGCAACATGGTTTTTAGGAGCCTATGTGCTGTAATTTAGGGCACTGACTGTATGGAATTAGTAAAATTAAAGAATTCCCAAGAATATTATTTCCCAGTATTTTAATGATCATTTCTAAGAACAGTCTATTTTGTGGTAAACATTTTTTTTGATCGTGTTTAGATAGAGACAGAGGTTACAAATGCAAAGACCCGTGTCTTAACTTCGTATGACCCCATGTACAAAGGCCTCGCCTGGAGCCTGTGTGGCCAGATGTTTATATATCAAAGATTAATTCATGTTTTAACACATTTTTTTGTCAGACAAGTGGGAAATCAACCCCTCGGAGCTGACTTTCATGAAGGAGCTAGGCAGCGGACAGTACGGTGTGGTGCGCTTGGGCAAATGGAGAGCGCAGCACAAAGTTGCGATAAAAGCTATCCGCGAAGGCGCAATGTATGAAGAGGACTTCATTGAAGAGGCAAAAGTAATGATGTAAGTTACAGTCCCACCAGTTGCATTCTCAGCTGTAGAAGATGCAAACAATGTAAGACAGCCATTATGATCTCTCTTTAGCCTCATTATATTCACCATCATGCTTTAAAGACAGCAAAGCTGTGAGCACCCAAGGAAAAAACATGAGATTTAGATAGCAGTGTCACTTCCCCAAATATAGAAAGATGCCTTACCCCCTCTCTTTTTTATGGAAAGAAATTTGAAATCACTGTGTCATCAAAACTAAACTAGTACTAGATGGCACAAAGTGTTGCTGCTGAAGCATCTTGGTGCCACTAATGCAGTGCTTTGAAGTAAAATTTTGTGAATTTATCTCCAGTCACAGAATATAGTGTTATAATTACATTATTTAGCTTCTCTAGCTACACAGTTTTGATGTCAGTTACATGTACAATCGTTTTTCTTCACATAGTAATGCTGGGGTGTACTGAAAAAAAGATCCTAGTTTGTTTTTGTTAAGGCTTTGTCTCTGCAACATTGCAGTTTATAACAACAAGTCAGCACAATTAGATTAATACAGTGCTCAGAGTTTCCTTTTGAATTTAAGTTACTAAATGTTTCTTGTAGTCACCACTTACCAAGTATCTGCTTAAAGTGTCATAATCTTTACTAGTAAGTCATAATATTAGGAAAAGAGAACTATTGTTTGAGGCAGTTTTGACCTCAGTCAGAATGCATAGAATGTTGAAACAGTGTTGACTCTGCCTTTTGAAAGCTCTTTCATTTTGGAATCATCAGCAGTTAATTTACATCACCAGTTTAAGTGGTGATGACTAATTAATTAGTCATCACTGCTTCTATTCTACCTGTACAGATATATTACATCTTCTAAAATGCTCTCTGTGAGGACATCTACTTCTCTTAACACTCCCAGCTCATAACCAAACACAGGAATGTTAGGACTTCAAATATTACCAGATTAGCTGTTACTGCAAGCTCACTGACACAGTAATACATGGGTCCTTATGTATTTTGCTGAGGAAACCAGTCTAATGTCGGTCTTCAGACCCACGTGACCCCAGCAGCTCTCGACTTATTTTGCTTCACTATGTGGACGTTCCTAGTCACAAGCAGCATTAGACATTAACCCAGTAACTAATGTCTCTACACTAAAGGGGCAAAAGCCAAAGCACGCCTGCACTGAATGAGTTTGTCGGGAACGTAGCAGCTCTTTTTGATTTGACTAAGATGAAAAAACATAATTTTTCTGTATCATTTCATATTATCGTCTTTTAAAATGGAATCGGTGATATAGCTCTCTTACTGACATAACTATCTTTGACTAATTATAATAATAATAATTGCTTACACTTCTATAGGGCTTTTCTGGACACTCCACTCAAAGTGCTTTACAGGTAATGGGGACTCACCTCCACCACCAATGTGCAGCATCCACCTGGATGATGTGACGGCAGCCATAGTGCGCCAGCACACTCACCACACATCAGCTATCAGTGGGGAGGAGAACACAGTGCTGAAGCCAATTCATAGATGGGGATTATTAGGCCATGATTGGTAAGGGCCAATGGGAAATTTGGCTAGGACGCCGGGGTTACACCCCTACTCTTTTTGAGAAACAAAAAGAGTTTCTCAAAGACTTAAAACCCCTCAAAACTGGGATTTTTCATAACCACAGAGAGTCAGGACCTCAGCTTTATGTCTCATCCAAAGGACGGCACCTTTTTACAGTGTATTGTCCCCGTCACTGTACTGGGTCATTAGGACCAACACAGACCGCAGGGTGAGCAACCCCTGCTGGCCCCACTAACACCTCTTCCAGCAGCAACCTTAGTTTTTCCCAGGTCTCACATCCAGGTACTGGTTAGGCTCTTTGCATAACCTTTGCTTCAGTGGGTTTCCAGTTGTGAGCTGCAGAGTGATATGGCTGCTGGCTGTCATTTTACAACTCGCTTTTTGTGAGCTGAAGAGGGATTTACTCAGCTCCTTGAAATCTTTGAAAGGGAAAAATCACTAAAAAGTCAGTAATACTGTATTAAACAGCACTGAGACAGAACTGAACTGGCAAATTCTGCTACATTTCCATGTTGCTATAGGTAATTTTTGATCATGCAGTGATAAAGCTTCATTGAAAGAAAATAACCATTTGAAGATTTTGAGAAATTATTGTACTAATGTTTTTTTTTATTGTTGCTGTTTTTCTGTCTTACTAGGAAACTGTCACATCCAAAACTGGTCCAGCTATATGGCGTGTGTACTCAGCAGAAGCCCATTTACATAGTGACAGAGTTTATGGAACTGGGCTGCCTGTTGAACTTTATCAGACAGAGACGAGGGCATTTCAGCACAGGATCACTGTTAAGTATTTGTCAAGATGTGAGCGAAGGGATGGAGTACTTGGAGCAAAATGGATTTATTCACAGGGACTTGGTAATTGTTTCTCTGATAATATTGTTACAAATGGGGGGTTACGACAATAGAGAAAATCAGGAACTAACTGAGTGGATTAGTCAGTAAGTAAAATGATTGATCATAACCCCCATCTTGTAACTGATTTCTGCCAGAATATACCTGAGTGGTTGGTATAATTAGAGGCACATATTATAAACTATTATAAAACAGTGCATGCCAATGGGTTTTTATGATAATATTTTATTCAAATATGCTCCAGCTGAAGACTTCTAAGAATTAGATAAGTTACAGTAAATGTAATCAAAAACTGAAGTGAAAGACTGAACTATGTTGAGTGCATAAGTATTCAGACCAGAGAACCAAATATTTGGTGTTAGGACTTTTAGCAGCCGCAAGTATTTTTGGTTAAGTCTCTGACCACTTTGCATTCTGATTTAAAAAAATAACTTTTAACACCCGTGCTCATGATACACTAGCAACCAGAGCTGTCTTGGTGACTGAGGTCTCCTTGTGTTGCCACTCTAATCATAATTATAGGCAGCCAGGCGTGTCCACCATTTTTACACAGGACCCTAAGCATGCTGGGATGCTATTTGCTTATTTTACACGGAGTCACACCCAGGTGTTTCCATGTTTCTTAAGAAGTCATGCGTTTCACATGCAATCTTAGCATTTTTCCATTGTAGAGAGAACTGACAGATACAGTGTTTGTTGAATTGTAGAAAATTGTTTAGCTCTCATACATATTAGTAATTAAGATGTGTAACTGTACTTTTCAATAGATAAGGGATAGATTATTAATTAAAAATTTTTCAGTTGCTAAGTGAATTGCCAGGTATTATTTGAATCAAAGACTTTAAGCTTTCAAATGAATGGCAGTAACTACAGTACATACAGTAGGAATATAATATTTATAACTAACATTTTAGTTATCTGTAATTGTAAAGGTAGCTGCTTAATTGGTACACTAGTTGTGCATGTATGTCATCATCTGGCTTTCCAACTCTCCTTATTCAATTTTTCTGAGACATAGTCTTTGATAGTGTTCTTGGCTAACAAAACATTTTATGTTACCAACATAGTGGTATTCTGCTTCTTTCTGTTTTTTTCAGGCAGCAAGGAACTGTTTGGTAAATGATTTGATGGTCGTAAAAGTGTCTGATTTTGGAATGGCAAGGTAAGAGTTGTTTCTAAAAAATGACTTTGCATTTAAAAATCTGTATAGATACTCTATCCCATACAATCTGTACAATATCTATTCAGAGCTCAACAGTTATGTGCTTAAGTAAGAGCTCTGTATTTTTTCTTTAAAATAAATATCTTGTCTTTTTTTCTGAGCATTTCAAGAAAATTAGTCCTCAGAAGGCGTTAGAAAAATGGAGTTAGTTAATGTTTGTGAATTAAAAAAAGACAATCAATATGCAAACTAACAAAGGTAAATGCAAAGGGTATGTATAAAATAATCTAATAATTTATTATTTCTTTATTATTATATGATTTAAATGAAGAGCAGCACGGTGGAACAATGTTTAGCATTACTGCCATGCAGCACTGAGGCTCTGGGTTCAATTTCTGGGTTGCTATCTTGTGGAGTTTGTATGCTCTCTCCATGTTTGTTACCTGAGTGCTCAAGTTTCCTTTAAAGACCTATTGATAGGTTAAATGGCTTCTGGGAAAACTAGCCCTGGCGTGAGTGTGTGTATTTGTCTCTGTGTGCCCTGCGATGGACTGGTGTCCTGTCCAAGGTGTATCCTGCCTTGCGCCCTTTGCTTGATGGGTAAGGCCCTGGGTCCCTTGTGAACCTGTATTGGATAAAGCAGCTTAAAATGGATGGATTTAAATTAATGTAAGATGTTTAAAACAGGGAACTTGTATATGCAACTGAAAGAAAAAGCAAGGCTCACCCAGAAATGTATCCAACAATTACCTGTGTGTAATCAAGAGTACTGAATTATTCATGAACTGTTCTGATACTAAAACGATCTCATAGTCTTTGGTGAATTATGTAATTCTGCTTAAACAAATTATAAAATATTAGCCTCAACTTAATAAATATGCTATAGTAATATGCTATAAAATATGCTACATTAAAACCACAATGCAAAGCATGGAGACTCTGATGTTGAAAGAAGAGAGATCCCTTCCGGTTACAATACGAGACAGCCCTATCACTGCTGTAGAGATGTAAGTAAATACGAACACAGTTAAATCACTGGATCAAAATGCATGATTATGATTAGTATGAAAGTCAGTTGTATTCGTAGTGATATATGCCTTTACATTTATAATCCATCCATCCATGTTCAAGCTCCTTCATCCAGTACAGGATCGTGGAAGAACCGGAGCTTATCCCAACACACAACAGGCACAATGCAGGATACACCCTACAGGGCAGGCAGGCAGACACAAACACAGACATACACACACTCTCACCACTGCCAATTTTACAGAAGACAATTAACTACCAGTATGTCTTGAAACTGAGGAAACCAGAGCACCTGGAGGAAACCCATATGAACACAGGGTGAACATATTTCACGCAGATAGCACCCCAGGTCTGGAAATGAACCCAGAGCCCCAGGGCCACAAGGCAGCAATGCTAACCATTGTACCACCATGCCATCATTGTGGAGTTCTATATATAAATAATTAATGCCCTACATGCTAGGAGATGCTCTATCGTATCTTGTTAGATTTCATGTCATGTGTCAATATACTAATTCATCAACCTTATTGCTTCTGGAGTTTTAATTATTTACTATATATATCCTGATTTTAATGCTTTCTTATGTGATTATTACAAACGTAGCCATTATAAATTGCATGGCTTTTTTGTAACATGTCTTTGGTGATCATTCAAAATATACAGGTTTCAATACATATGTACTACACTATTTTATTATGTCATGCTGTTCTATGTTGGAACCCAGTGATTGGACTGAATTTCTTAAGCAAATTATTTCTTCTCTGTGCATATATCAATAATAAATTAAGCTGGAGGTGTTGTAATAAGGTTGCACACTGCATTTATCTTGTGACATTTTAAAATGTCACAAATTTAAGGCAATGTGTAACTTCACACTGAAACTTCAGCAGTTCAGCCTCAAAATTCAAACTTGTTTTCAAACAAAAACGTCAAGCAAAGTTTTAGTAGACTTTAGTAGAAAGTTTTATTTTCTCAGGTATGTCCTAGATGACCAGTACACCAGCTCCTCTGGTGCAAAATTTCCTGTTAAATGGTCTCCTCCTGAAGTCTTCAATTTCTGCAAATACAGCAGCAAGTCAGATGTCTGGTCATTTGGTATGTGTTATTATTGATCTATAAGTACTCTATATGTACATCTTTTTATTAAAATGTTGCACTGTTAATTCCTTATTTAATTCCTTTATTTGATAATGATTTGATGGGTCTTTTAAAGACAGTACAGTCAACAGTTATTTTATAGTGTGGCAACATATCTGCTGTTCTTAAAGTTTTACCTATAAGAAATATTTCCAAGCAATTTTATCATTGCTTCCATGAGTGTTAGTTCTATAGATTCAGGTTTCAGTGGTCTTGTGCAGTCATATTCTGAACTTTTTTAGAAATGTGACTCAAGAGCTTATAAAAAAGGGGCTTCCAGCACAAGGCTATGACTCTGCTCTGACGCAAATCATGAAGCAAAGCCGCTATAATCTTCCAAGTTGTCTACAAGACAACTATCTATGAGAAATAGGTGATATTCTTGGAAATGGTCCATTCTGCAAGGCACTTGACCTGAGATGCATAAACTCATGGTCCCAAGTTTTCTGGAACTGACTTTCAGATCTCAAGAAGTGGGAAAGTACATTGAATCGTAAATCTATTGAAAGATAGGTACTGTATATGGTATGTTAATAAAAATCTTTAAGATATTTTGCAAATACTTGTGGAACTCTTTTAGGTTTAAACACTAAATAGAGTCTTGGAGAAAGTTTTCTAAAATTAAGAAAATTCATCTCACATATCATACCTAAAGTAGTAAGTTGCATTCTAGAATATCTTGCACAAAATAATTTTCTAAAGGTTGGTAATGCATTTTATTGAATACAATATTGCATTTATATGTTGTACATAACATGTTACATGTTAAACATTTACTGTAACTGATTGGTATAAAAGATAAGATCACTTTATTAGCCTGCATCAGGAATTTGACAGATTAGTCTTGACACTAGACCATTTCCATATGTATGCCTTTTGAGTTTGGTATAACATTATAACAAAGATTTAAATTGCACAAGTTTGTTGAGCATAATTGACTTGGAAATAAAGTATTGTTTTGTAGCTTATATACTCTGTGCATGAGGCTGTCTACACTAGAAAACGTTTCTATGCAGAGTGCAGTTTTGAGCTCTACAGTATTTTTCTGAGTCTATTGCTTCAAATCTTGCCTAGGCTATGCCATTAGCCAGCTGTCTCTGATCACCCACAAAGCAGTGCACAGTAGGTGAAGTATTGCTAGTGTTCAGGTTAGTCAAACTGATGTCCACTAACTTGCCTATAATTGCAGCTCTCCTGTTTCCCTTGAGCTTAATAGGAATGATTGTTTGTCACGTTTTAAAAATCTCCACAAAGAAAGACATCAAATTTAGGAAGTAATAAACTTGAGCTTAATATGTCACCAGCTCC